AATGTTCTAGGAGAATGTTTATGAGTATACATGTGTCTGTGTATGTGCATGTGTGTGCCTGTCTGTGTATATGTGTGTCTGTGTGCATGGGTCTGTGTGCACGTGGGTGTGTCTATGTGCATGTGTGCCTGTGTGTGAATGTGTGTCTACACATGTGTCTGTGTGCATGTGGGTGTGTCTGCACATGTAGGTGTGCATGTGGGTGGGTCTATGTATATGTGGGTGCATCTGTGATCATTTGGTGTCTGTACACATGGGTGTGTCTATGTATGTGTCTGTGTGTACCTGTCTGTGTGCATGTGTGTGTGAGCATGTAGGTGTACATGGGGGTATGTCTATGTGTATGTGCATGTGTCTGCACATGTAGGTATATGTGTGCATGTGTGTGTGCCTGTGTGCATGTGAATGTGTCTGTGTGTATGTGGATGAGTCTGTACACATGGATGTGTCTGTGCACATGTGAATATATCTGTGTGTATATGTGTGTGTCTATGTATACATGGGTGTCTACATGCAAATGGGTGTGTCTGTGTGCATGTGTGTGTCTGTCTACACATGGATTTGTCTGTGTGCATGTGTCTATGTGCACGTGGGTGTGCCTGTGTGTATATGTGTGTGTCTGTGTATACGTGGGTATCTGCATGCAGGTGGGTGTGGCTGTGTACACTTGGATTTGTCTGTGTGCATGTGTCTATGTGCATGTGGGTATGTCTGTGTGCACATGGGTGTGTCTATGTATGCATGCAAATATTTATGCATGTGGGACTATGCATATGTGCATGTGTGTGCACATTGTGTGTGCACATGTGTGACTATGGGGAGCACATGTGGGGAGACAGGAGAATGGGCAGCTGACAGCCTGTTTTGTGTGTCATCCTGCTGGTCCCTGGCCTCTGGGATGGCACTAGAACAGTGGTTCTTAACCTTCTTAATGCCATGGTCCTTTAATACAGTTCCTATGTGTCGCGACCCACAAGTTAAGAACCACTGCATGAGAGTATGAAGCCATCCATGAAGCCTCTTTGTATGAGGAGGCAGCAATAACTTATCCATCAACAGAAAATATCAAAAGCTGACTCAATTTGAGGCATTTTTTGGATGTCACTGGAGACTAACATAATAACAGGCAGAGAGAGTGGTGAGGACACATCTAATGATTAGAGTCTATCCCTCAAAGGAACAGAGCAAAACCTTTACAAAGAAAACTATATACATTTGGGATTCACTTCACAATAACAAGGAGGGGAGGTGTATGGGGGACGTGAGGCAGGCCTGGAATGGGCTAACAGTGGACAGTGCTGGGTGATGGACAGAGACACGCATTATGCTATTCTGTCTACTCGGGACACGCTGCAAACTGTCTCCTGCATTTGAAATACACCATTCTCTGTTTAGCCTCCTTTGAAACAATTTGAACATTGTGACAAATCTATGTGCTTCAAACAGATAGAATAATAGCCACCACTTTCCCAAGAGCTGTCGTGGGTTCTCAGACACATCTGTAAGTGAAGAGCCGGGAGCGCAAATGGCTCAGGAACTTCCCAAGACCATAGGGCACTAGTGCCAGCCCACCTCCAGCCACTGCAGATGCAGATCAGAGTTAGACCAAAATACACAATGTCAGCCCAGGAAAATACTCCTCCAAAAGGCAGAAACTAGCTGCAGGCCTTGCAGCCCACCCACCTGCAGCTCTGGGCTAGGGCACCTGGGATCCCCCCATACCGGGAATAGGAAGCCCATGGAGAGGGGGCACCATGCATTCAAGCAGTGGCTGCCGCCCCTGGGTCTTGATCCCCCAACTCCAAAGCCACAACAATGTGCCCCAGCACCTACGTTGAAAAGAAAAAGCCACAGCATCTCTGCATGAGGACAACACGCTCTTATGCATGAAACCCCAAGGAACCGGCTGAAAATACCCATTAGAACTAAGGAATGAGCTCAACAGAGTTGCAGGATACAAAAATCATTGTATTTCTCAGCACTTGGAAAGAACAATCCAAAAATTAAGACAATTCCACTCAGTAGCCTCAAAAAGAATAAAATACCTGGAATAAATTCAACAAAAGAAGTGTTGAATTTTACTGTTTGTAGTGTTTTACTTTAAAAACAGTAAAACATTTTGAAGAAAATTAAAGAAGGCCTAAATAAATGGAAAAACCTTGCGTTCTCATAGGTTGGGATACATAACAGTTGTGTCCTGACTCTGACACCCCACACTAAGCTGCATAGTCAGTGAGGCCCGTCAGGCCCAGTGGCATTTCTTGTGGGAACTGGAGAGATGGTTTCAAACTTCACATGGACTCTCCAGGGGCCCAGGTAGCCAGGATGATTCCACCCAAGAACAAAGCTGGGGACTCATACTTCTGCTGTGGTGATGGGGACAGTGTGGTGCTGTCACAAGACAGATGCACGGGTTAGTGGAATAGAACTATGGCCACGATCTATGGCCAGCTGATCTGCAACAAGGGGCCAAGCCACTCTGTGGGAGAAGGGCAGCCTTTCAATTCACAGTACTTGGACAACTGGACGTCTGAAGAGGGAGTGTGAGCCTGTCTCATACATGTATACAAGTCAACTACTGGTGGGCCGCAGACCTGAACTACAAAACTCTTATAGGAAAACAGAAGTGAGTCTTTGTGCCATGGATTTGGCAAAGGAAGCTTAGATATAACACCAAAAACACGAGAAACAACAACAAAATTAGATTATTTGCAGTTCATCAAGAGTTAAAAGTTTTCATCCTCAAAAGATACCATCAAGGCCGGGTTTGGTGGCTCATGCTTGTAATCCCAATGCTCTGGAAGGCTGAGGTGGGCGGATTGCTTGAGCTCAGGAGTTT